GGAAATCGGCTGGATAGGGCACAATAAGGGCAGGAACAGTGGGGGACGAGAGGCGTCCACTCCTCGCTAGGCTGGCTACGAGTTCTAATTGTCCTTCACCACATTCGCACTGGGGCGAAGTTGGCGAAAAGTCGATAAGCTGGTTGGCAAATTACCAGAGACGCAATGTGTCGTCTGCTATTGCAGACAACATTGCGTCGCCTTCGTGCACTCGCCCGAACACTCCCTAACCGCCGTTATTTCAATGTGAAACTCGTCCAACCCCCTTTCCAGCTCTTTTTTGACCCTTTAAAATTCTTTTTGTTCATCGTTTTTTGCGCTTTTTTCGTTGTTATCGCTTTATTCTAGAGTAGTTCTACCAATTCCCGTCGAAAAAGGGTACCCTAAATTTATTGCTAACGGTGCCTTTAAGTGTTGAACCTAGGCCCGCCTCTCTCGCCTGCACAAAGCATAAATGTATTTAAGTTTCGCCAAGTTATTGGAGGTCTTCAGAGGTTAAGAGATCTACTGCGTACTAAAAATAGACAGGATTATGAGTTGCTGGACACTTCCATTGCTAATTGTGACATAACGGAATCCTCCCCAGTCTGTGGCTGACGTTAAATTTGGAATACTATCTGCAGGAGTCCCCCCTGTCTTCAACCAATACACTGAACTAGCAATAGGAACTTAACGCATAGCCGACGGCAGAGATTGAATGAATTATCTCAGCGGCTGCTCTGTTCACTGTCCCGTTACTGAGAATGATTTTTCATCACAATGCAGCCGCCTCGATCAAATCTGGTTGGGCGTCCAAAATCTGCAGGTATTGATAAAAAGTTGGTCGAAGACTCAAAATGGATATTCCGAACTGTCCAGCTTTTTATAGTCTCATGAATACCCGTAAACTAAACTCTCGTCTACCGATACGCTGTCAACATCATTGGACACTTGCAAATTCCGTCCCATCACCAGTTCTGTGGGGGGACCAACTGGCAGAATCTCGCGGTTCCTTAATAAGCTTTTAGGCCAGCTGTTGACCTTGGTCCAACTCACCTGTCTATTACATTTAGCATTTCGTAGAACTATTACGTACTTCCAATTCTGAGGAAAGTGTAGTTGAATCTTTTGTTGTTGTTACGCTTCAAAGTGATGCCCTAAACGAGCATGCCTTACAAGAACTATCCGAAATGCTCGATAAGAATGCTATCAACATGAATATCTTTGCAATACACCTTTATTTTATTGAACAGAACACGAGTTTAAATACAGTAGCGCTCAAAAGACTTCGGTGAAATGCTTTTTAGTCATACTTTTCAGTCATAACTCCTTTCCTACTAGATCTAGTCACGCGAAATATGTGTAGCATGGGTGTATTGTGAATATTTACCACTATTATCCTGCAATCTAAACACGTTCAAGATATCCCAAAGGGCTTGGACTCAAAATCAACTAGAAATACGAATGATCTTCCTTTTGGAATTTCTTTCCTTCTCATCATGTCTAGAGTGTACCAGCGCTAATGCCGAACACAGTGGAGGACAAAAACACACATAAAGGGCGAATAACTGCAGACGTAACCAACTTTGCATTTAGCGAAATCTGATGCCGCATAAACATCTTGTTCTAATTATGCGGATATTGCAGCTCTCCAATCAAATGGTCTTGGACAGTGTGAGATATGCCTTAGTTAAACATATTAAAATTTCGCACGATTTGCTCCACTAAAAGAAAAGTTATGAACGAAAAAGCGTGAAAGCGTTTGACCGAACACTTTTGAGCGCTACTGTAAATATTACAAATCAGTCGGCTAACGTTCCGGTGATTTTCGTCTTCTTCGGGGCATGAAAAAGGTGGAAACCAGCGTATGATTATGTTTTTGTTATTATTTATGATTTTTTTTGATTTTTATGATCAAAGACTCATCCTCCTCCCCCCCCCCCCCCCC